GCTCATTACATTGCTTCACTGGCATTCAATTACAATAATTATTTCCACATATTGGGTCACAGATCGATCATCTTTTTCTTGCCAGGGTAATCTTTCTGCTATTAAATTTCAAAGGAGGTGCATTTTTATGGTCGGCAAGGAAGGTGAAATCAAAGGGAAGTCTTTGTTAAACCTGCGCGTCAACATTTGCCTCGTTGTCCTCCTTCAGCTGCACGCGTCCTGTCAAGTGTCAGTACAAATTTTCTATTGTAAAAACAGGACCCAGTCAGGCGACAATCTTGTATCCGATTTAGGGTCCCATGATACATATAAAGATTACGTGCAATGGTGTCAGTGGTGTCCATGAGTGACATAGAAGAGAAAAAACAGATGCGACCTTACACATCTCAATAAACACGTGTTGTTTGTCAATAAGACTTCAAAAACCAATATTATAAGTAAACAATATTGTAAGTATACTAACACTGTGCACATGGATGCTAATATAACGAGTAATCTGAGGTAGTAGTGACTAGGTTTAAACTATTTACATGAAATTGTGACTTTTGAATACTAGTAATAAAGAAATATTGAAAAGTTGACATACTGATTGGCCTTTATATTATTCTCTTAATTGCCTTTTCATTCTTATTATTTACAGAAAAAATATAAAAGCTTATTCTTGACATAATTTGGATAAGCCTGTCAAGATATGCTCTTTTACACTATACTTCAAATTTTGAGAACTAAAGAGAAATTTTAGTTACATGTATAAACTTACACAAAAACCATCCGATTTAATAAAAAAAAAATTTAAAAAAACCCCATATTTTAATTATTAATAACTTAAACTTCAATTGATTAAAGGTTTGAATACTTTGATAAACAAAGTCATATCCACTGTTGGATTTGGTATTACGATTCTGATTTTGATTTATTTACATAACAGGTCCGTAAAGATACTGGGTTAATGCAGGATTTAGAACATGAATCGAATACAAAAAAGGTTCCTCTATTACAAAGTCCATTAATATTACGAGACATAACTACATAACTCAATGCTTTATTCTGCTTTATCTACCTCTTTGATATCCTTCACACCCCGTGAGAGAAACCAAGTCCATTCTGTCAACACCAATATTAAATCGACGGAATCCTTTACCGTATAGATAATCAAATATTATCTAAAGAATCTTTACGACTTGCTAATTTACATCACAAACCTCGCACTAATACCGGCATCTCGAACACCCTTCCGCCAAACAATACTTTATGCAGAAAAACCTGTCAATATTGCCCTTCTACCTAGTTTTAATGTAAGTTATTGATAGCTAAGACATTTTCAGATCCATAAACAATTAATTTAAAACGAATATTTGCTGTAAAATACAAATGAAATTAAAAGCTGCCACTTAGGCTCACTGAACGTGTTTGAAAATAAATAAATCTTGGTGAGAGAAATACAAGTCAATATTTAATCAAACTTCTCCCAGTCATTATTTTGACTATGACAGCTATTTCAGATTTTTCTAGGTCAAATAGTCTCTTATTATGTTCAGGTTATTATCCACTGATTTCAAGTACATACAAAAGAATTGGCAATTCTGTGTTTATAACGTTTATTTAACATTTTTCAATAACGTCTAGTGCTGATTAGAGCTTTCTCAAATAAATGCATCACAAGGGATTAAAAATATGAACCTAATGATTAACATGTTGTGTTTGTTGAACACTGATGCCTCTGTACGGCAGCTTATGGCCAAAGGTTAAAGTTTTTCGAATGTTGCCATAGCATTAACTTTTCAGAAGTTATGGCCAAATCAATAGTTTTCAAAAAGAAGGTCTAATTCCATGGTCAAAAATGTTGGTACCCAAAGAAAGGTCTTGTCACAAGACATATACATGTGAAAGATGAAAGACCTGGCACCAACCTATCAAAAGTTATGGTCAAGGTTAAAGATTGGTGAAAGTTCTTCCAAAGTAAGTTAACTCCAGGGTCAAGAAAAAAGAAGTAAAAATGTGGAATATGAAACCCTAGCACCAACCATTAAAAAGTTATGGCAAGGTTTAAGTTTTTGCGGACAAACAGACGAGACAGGTAGAGAGACAGGCGGACAGGCTAAAAACTATATGCCTCCAAATCTTCGATTATGGGGTATAAAAATTTTTCAATTTTATGCGAAATTAGTTACGATTTATAGGCTTTTGATGGTAGGTAAATCATTTAAACAAATTTCTACAAGCACAATGTTTTGCAATAAAATACATATTCTGTCATGATTAGAAATACAACTAAAAACCGTCTATGTTTTTTTTAATCAAAAAACACACAACACATACACACATAAAATAATTAATTTAAAACGACCAAACTGTTATAATCACATGTTCCCAAAATTTTTAATGTACAGTGAAAATCAAATAACCAGTTAGTCCAAAGGAAACTTCAAAACCATAAGGCAGAGTCTTTTTCCTCAAACAAAAAGATGAGTCTTTCGAATTAAAAGTAGAGTCCAACAATTTTCTATTTTAATAAAAATCTGTGGGAAGACAGTTTGTATGCTTTGCTATTTCCACGATTTCAGAAACTGATGAGCGTCTTTCGAACTAAGAGTAGAATTTGTATGCATTGCCATTACACAAGTAGATGAGAGTGTTCTGAACTAAGAGTAGAGTTTGTATCCTTTGCTATTTCAGAAATTGATGAGAGTCTTCCGAACTAAGAGCAGAGTTTATACCCTTAGCTATTACATAAACTGATGAGAGTCTTCCGAACTAAGAGCAGAGTTTATACCCTTAGCTATTACATAAACTGATGAGAGTCTTCCGAACTAAGAGCAGAGTTTCTATCCTTTGTTATTACACATAGAGACGAGAGTCTTTCGAACTAAGAGCAGAGTTTCTATCCTTGGCAATTAAACACACAGGTGAGAAATTCAAGAAATTATGCATCCTAAACCTCGCTACATCTTTCTGTGTTGATAGAATTATTACTAGTAACCAACTTTGGTATGTGGCCTGAACTTTTTGATTGCTAGACATACTTTGTTTCGTAAAATTTCCCCCCACAAATCGTCAAAAAAGACGTTTTATAGGTAACAAACTGTGTTGAAATCTTAGAGTTTGTGGGTACAGAACTACGTTAAGTTCCATTTTTGATGTAATATATTTGTTTATCGAGATTCAGATTTTACAATCATAAGATGGGTAAAATGAATTTACAAAAGATTACGTCCATACATTAACGTAGTAATGTATTTTTGGTCCACACTGCTTATCTTCCAGTTTTCAAGATCATAAGACATCAAGATTAAAGCACTACTTACCTAACTACTTTATTTTGGTTACAATGCAAAAGAAATTTAATGTACACTTTCCAATGTCAGAGGTATCTAATCAAATTTCAACACTCGACATTTTATCATAAATATAGAAACCAAAACCAGAAAAAACGCAATGCAAGTATTAACCTGCAGTTTTCCGAAAGTGTTAATCTAAATTTCATAGACAGCCAATACGTCATGAACACATGATTAAGATACAAAGAACTTGCAAAAAAGGTGGATTTAGAGAAAAAATTACCAAAAATAGACAGAAGGTCAAGCTATGCTAGGCAAAGACCTGATTCACCAAGAATTCCTAGCAAAAACTAATAGGAAGATCTCATGGCACATCAGGACCTTTACGTGATAACTTTCGTTTGACCTTGTGTTTTCTGTTAATTCTGTATCATTACACTGCATATTTCATATGTAATTAGTGCAATATGTAGTCATTGACGCGATAGGTACAGTAACTATTCTCTTGATAAGTTCATTAGTCATAATTTTCTACAGCCTATGATAATAAGTGTTAAGCTCTTTCAATACTAGCTAGTCCTTTATCTTAAAACAATCTTTTATTAGAATCTTAGAATTTTATTAGAATCTTTTATTATCCCGATCTAAGCTGCATGAAGTTTCGGAAAGGACATTCTAATAGCTTTTACATCTTAAAAAAAGTCGACAAGAAAAATGTGACTTAAATCTGTTTGAAATATGACATATGTAATAAATGCAATGTGTAGTTACTGACGCGATAGTCTTTTGATAAGTTCATTAGTCATAATTTTCTACAGCCTATGATAATAAGTGTTAAGCTCTTTCAATATTACCTAGTCCTATTTCTTAAAACAAAAAGCATTTAGAATCTCTCATTATTCCGATCTAACTTGCATAAAGTTTCGGAAAGGACATTTTAATAGTTTTCACATCTTAAAAAAGTCGACAAGAAAAATGCGACTTAAATCTGTTTGAAATATGACATCCTTAAGCAGAGAAATCAAGGCTAACTCGTTTTTCAGTGACGTCCGGATAAATCAGCACGTGTGTATTGTGTATTTTATAATTCGATTTCACATTTCAGCTCAATTTTTCATTTTCCTGCAAGCCTCGGAAAGCAATTAATAAACACATACAAGGAAACGAGTAACCGCCCCAAAAATGATAATGAAGGTGGTTCATAATACCCAGGTTATTAAAATTCAGAATTATGCCATAATTTGACAGCCCGTTTGCAAGGGGTCTTGGACTAAAGCACCGCCCGACTACAGCTTCATAAATGTATTGGGTTGGTCCCTCGTTAAAAAGGTTGTAACGAACCTATTGATTTCTCCTGCTTCTACACGTGGTCTGTAGAAGCGGCACTGTTCGGATTGCAGGGTTATGATGCGTCACCTGAGTAAGCGTGGAAAGCAATGGAGACGAACACATCAGGTCGGGACTAACTTCTAACTCGAAAACTTTTGGAAAATTAAATTAAATTGTGAGATTTCTGTGATACTTTTACAACCCCCATCATGAATGACTAGAGGAAAGAGCTACACACAGAATCAGACTTAAAGGTAGCGTGGATATTTCTTTTTGCATTGATCTCCGATATTGCGAAGAAGAATTACCTGTGTAAGAAATAATCTTTATTGAATGAACGCACGGTGCGACAGGAGTCACCATTAACTGAGGATCAAACAACTAAGATGCGCTGGAATCTGACCTTACGAATCAGTGCTGGACCATACACTGTCCACCTAAACATGTGACGGGCCCGGATTTTGCATCATGTTTAGGCTACCCCAAACAGCCTTAGTGTTGGCTCTCCTACTTAGTTCATTAAAAGGTAAACAACTTTTCATTTTAAACCCATTGCAAAGATATGTAAAGAGATGCTAAACTTTAATAAAACTAAAACTCTTTTATTATCCTCGAGCAAGAACCATCAGGATTTAATGTTCTCTTATTAAAACTGGATGGCAACATCTTTCACTCACAAATGAAATCTTTTTCCCCTGATAAGTATACAGTTACAGTAATCGTAGTTAAACCCTATCGAATCTGTTCTAGTTGTTGTCAGCGGGGCTAAACTTAAGCATCTGTGACAGTACTATTATACGATATTTGCTTAATCCGCTGAAATTATTGTCAATCCATTTTCGCCTCGTGCATCGAACGATAAATTCTATATTTTTTTCGTTTGATAATTACTGGCAATAAGAACTCTTTTGGTATATCTGGCTATTATCACTTACAAGGTTTTTATCTGGGGACGTGTATTGTTTCATTAATATTCTGCTCATGAAATTGTTAAATAATGCAACACATTTCTCTGTCTTTGGGCCATGATCGGAGTTGTTTAGTAGGAGTACTATAAATATGCTTTTGTTGGCCCGTCCTTGTTGGAAGAATAATATGGCATTTCAGGTTATTGTACTTAAACTACACCCATGTTTGTATTTTTTTTTTTTCAAGAACGATTTGAATACCGTAAATTTTTTTGTCCGGACCATGGGGAGAACTTTAAATTATCGTGAATTAGTGTAAATGCTCTACTTTTAAAAAGGCTAATCTCCGGGGAGGAACAACTCCACTATCTGTGAGATTTATCATTCAGTTACGTACTATTTAGCTCATAAAAAGGATTAAGGTAGCTGTCTTTTTCGCAATATCGCTATCCTTAACACAATTTAATGTTCTCAATGAAGGTTATTGTCAATATATAAAAATAAGGTGCGCAGTTTATTATCAATTTACATATGATCATAAAGTTAGATATGTATAGATAACTATCAATATGTGAAGGTGAAGAAATGTGTGAATGAGAAATGATTAAAAAGAATTTTAAGTATATCCAGAGATTTCAAATACCCCTTATGCACGCATTGTTGGATTTGTGTCCATTAAATAAATTATCAGTCCTATTTGAAGTCCTGTTTTGGTTTTTAGAGAAAAAAAAGGCATAAATGCATTAGACTAATCATTGAGTGTTTTGGATTAGTTTCGAGACAATTTGGAAGATATATAGATTGTTAAGAAAATATATTCCCGGCAAAATGGGACCTTTATAAATAGTTGAACATTTAAAAATTGTCTATAATTATTAATGAATATTTTCTTTTAAATACGGGGATAAAAAGGAATTTCGAAGCGATTTAACAGCCCATTTTTACATATTATTGATATGCATAGTTGATCACATAAAGATGAAATGCTTAGTGTTATATTGATCTCAGTTTTTTTGTAAAAATTAACTACGTTCTATCGCTATTATTTTCATATGTAAATGTTCCAGGTTCGGGGTAAAATATTATCATTGTCAGATTGAACGGAAATTAAATAAAGTTTGACAAATACTCTGGAATCGAATGTCTCTTAAAAAAGCTATAATACCATTAGGAATTGAATTGAATAATCATTCTTTTATTGCACATAAAGGGACAAAGAATTATGTTCATCAGCTGAATATGAAAAAAGCGCTAAATCATCTGCAGTCCTATTTAAAAATATAAAAAAGAAAAAAAAACAAATATCCAAGACTATTAATTCATTACAAAGACGGAAAGCATTTTAAAAATACATCATGATATTATCACCCGAAATAAACCAGAGCAGAAATAAGTAGTGGATACATGTTCCATAAGAAGGTATAAGGAGGTGGTAATGTTTCGTGTTTCCTTGGGACTGTATTATCTATAGACATCTAGTTTAAACATTTTGGGAGGAAAGGATTGCTTTCTGTCAAATAAAGGAAATTTCTCTAAATAAACATATCCTACTATTTGTCAAGAAGAAATTAATTACCCAAGTTTCTATGGTTCATAATGACTTTAACCTTTGAACTTGAAGTGTATATTGATAAATGATTTGACATTATTTACAATTATTTACAATTTGATCACTCTAATTAAACATATTTTGTATTGATTATCATAGAATCGCGAAGTTTAGACACTCGAATGATAATACTTCTGTTGGACTGGTGGGTCCAACATACCACCTGTCGCGCATATGGCACAGAACCTGATCGAATACACCTTACCCCAACTACGATTGAATATCACCTTATAAATCATGCATAAATCCAGGTAGACGGTCTGGTGTATTGCATTGTAAATATTATATCAGTACGCAGGTATCCCTGTGTATTATAGCCATGAGATAGAAAATACACTACTCAGCATTATATTGAAATATGGCTGAGCATATTGCTATGAAATATTTAGCAATTCAAGTTCTTACTCTATTGTAACCATTATGTTTAATTGAATCTAAATGTTAAAGCCTAATCTATCATAAGTGGCTGATATGTTTAGAACAATGAGAGGTTGGAACTGTTAATTGTGTATAAAGAGTATTAGGAAGTGTATCCCTTGCAAGGGGAGTTAATTTCTACTTAACAATTCTTTTTAAATGCAGCTATCGATAAACTGATTGTGTTAATGATATTAATAGAATATGGTGCATCTTTCATAATTATCAATATTTACTGCCAAGTGATTATTGCGTAAGTTTTATTTATATGTTTTCAGAAAAGTACATTGCTTGCTAAAAAATATTAAATGTTTAGTAATTAATGATTAACTTTTACCCGATTCATCTTCTGTAGAACAACATTGGTGTTGTTGTCTTCAAATATCGACCATTCCCTCTAATAAGTCGAAATAGGCTGAACCTGAAAAATAAACGTGAAGTAATACACAATATGAAAAAAAAATATGTTTGATGATGGCACTGTAAGGTTTACTTTCGTATTTGGATACGGTATAAGATTAAGCTTCTTTTTTTTATTTGACCAATAATGCAATCATAGAAATGTATATTGAACAATTACCTAATAATTAATACAACTTTTCTTCTGAAAATTTTGGGCGAATTAGTAATATAAGGTATGACTTAGTGATATTCTTGTCTCACTTATGGCGCAGTTACACCAAAATAATATTTTAGGCAGCAGCTATAAGTTGAAGAAGAATTAATTTTCAATGCCTTTTCTCCTTATTTTTCTTTTTCTATTGATTTCTGACGATGCAAAATGAATCTTGAACGAGAGTTTGAAACTTCTTTACAATCGATGCGGAAGCTCTTTCTTTTGAGCAATATAACACCGTTTTAAAACCCCATAACACCCATAGAAATGTTTCATTGATTTGGACAATTTTATTTGCATAAGTAAATTTACAAGAGACCGTTAACAGCATTGATTGGTTCAGATTAAGTAGAGTTAAAGTTTGGCCACGTGCGGTAATACCGAACAGTGTCAACTTCATCCTTTAGTGTTTCCTCTAAATGAAGAGCTCTACTTCCGGTGAAAAGAAAATACCTGCTTCCGAGAGGTAGCTCATATCTTATTCTCTAGGAAAGTATCTTTAATGAGTCAGGTGTTTAGTCAATATTAAACTTTACCATTTTCAATTTTACAGACAAATGTTCAATACATGCACCGATTTTGGTCCATATCGATGAGTTTCTGAAAGAAAAATATGTAGGTTAGACTAGGACATTGATCATCAACAATTGCTGCACCAAGGAATGTAATAACTGAAAGAAAAAATTAAAGTGGAAAAATATTATGATAGACTGAACTAAAAAGAAGAGATGATGATTTACTATATTCAGAATAACTCGGAAACCTAGCCTTCGCGAAGAGTAACTTACTATATAGAACAGACGTTGGAAGTTATGGGTCTCCAGGGAATGCTACATAGTAAAACTGTTTCTCTTTGTAATATTAAGCCTTAACACTTAAAATGTGTCGATTCAAGGTTTACCCGAGAGACAAAATTCTATTCCATTAACACTGTCATTACGGCCACCGGCGCGTGTGGAGATTGCATGATCGCGCGTGCATTGCATCTTAGATTGAACCATAGAAGAGAAGCCTGAAAGTTTCGCTTAGAGAAAAAAATTCATTTTCTCTCCAATCCATTTTCAAATAATTAACACAAGTCGGTTCGACGTAAAACAAGATTCAAATTAATGTCAAGCCAGAAATTACTTCTATAGCATAAATAACTCATAGTCATGCACTCATGGAAGATTGGGAAAAATGAATACAAGTATCAGTGGATGTTCAACAAAATATTCCTCACCCACGGACCTACATTAGCTACTGTTGTGTCTTTCGTTTACATTCACACTGGTACAATGCAATAATAATGTATGGAGAATTAGGAATATTTTCTATAGAAAGTATAAAAATCTGCATTTTAAATTATTTCTAACATACAGTCAGATGTGTGATTTAAGTTTTGTCTTATTACTTATAAAATATATAGCAAACACTCGCGTTCACAATACTGTAGTATCTACATTCTAAATCATCACTCTGGAGGAGTATCTGAGAGTACTAAATCATCTAGTTCACGTGCATTTATACCATTCATATATGCCATGCTGCTTTCTGCAAGCAGAAACATGGGTAAATATATGCAAAAATATGTAAAATTAACAAAAGCTGTGATATATTGCTACATGTCTTTCCCTGAAAAGAATACAATAACTCATGTTCATGTATTTGGCATAAATATGTAGAACAGCAAATGGTGCGAAAGTGCAATTCATTTGGCTTAAAAAGGGATTTGAATTAGATTTCTATTTAAAACATTATTAATATGCATTTTTTATTTTTGTTGAAAAAAATGTGTTACTCTCTCTCTCTCTCTCTCTAAAATGATAAACGGGATCTCGAGGTTTGATTCATACAAGTGCTTTAGCAGAAGAGGAATTTTCTTTTAAACCAAAGGAATGTAAGAACACATGTATTTATTATAGTTGCAACATTGATATATATATATATATATATATATATATATATATATATATATATATATATATATATATATA